GTTGTGTGCCATGTACGCAGCACTCCGCCTCTCTGCAAACAGTCGCAGCCCTCGTCAGGCAACCACGTCTGTATGTCCACACACAAAATCTCTGGAACACGACTGCTCACATAATCCCCGGCACTGACCAAATCACCGCTATAGCACATATCATCACAACACTCCCGTTCATTCGACCACCTACTCCAATACCAAACCTGCTATCCTACGCCACCGACACCAACAGACCACGACTGCGAACTGCCACACCATACTCACCCCCGGCGGCAACCAGCTTCTCCACACGCGCAACGATATGCTTGCCATAAGTATACTTCTTCAGAGCATGCAAGTGCACCCGAATACGACCCAGCAACAGTTCGCGCTGCGACTCATCGCACGTTTCCAACACCTTCTGGACCACGTAGTTTGCGAACTGGTCTTTCATCATTGCCTGCACAGCATCACCCAACATCAACGTCAGCTCCCTGTAAATCAGCCTACCTCTACACCCACTCAACCCTCCACCGCACCATATGCACCACCACACGACATCACAAACGCCTACTCACAAATGCTCCCTCCCGCAATGTCGACCTCCACCACGCTTCAAGTTCTGCGATAACATCCCCTCCCTATCTCAACCAGCACAACCCACCCACTAACCAAACTGTTACTACTCAACTCACACAGTACCTGCAGCGGCTCGTTCTCGTCCGTCAGACCAAGCATTTCATCGATCAGTATCTGTCGCTCCACTGGCCCGCCGTACTCCAAGCACTTCTCCACCACGTTCGATGCAAACTTGTGCTGACTCATTTGTACAATTTGCCCCGCAAGCTTTGTGATGATCTCGCTTCTCTCGTGATCTCGTCCATGCTCAAGCACATGCTGAACAACACACCATAAACAAGCCGCACACACACCCAAACCTCAGCAAACCTTTGCCCAGCACAAACCATGCCTGGAAAAACCCTTCCACACCACGCCCAACAACCGCCACTAAAACAGTAACCCCCACCAAGCAGGCATCGCAAACTCCATGTTACACCACAAACTCAAAGATCGATCCCCCACAAACTGCCAACACAATCGCCTCCATACCTGCACTCCCAGAAACCCAACTACAAACTTCGTCTAACCATACGCCTGCCCCACAATCACCGACTGCCAACACGCCCGACACACACACCCCCACCTGCACAACATAGTTGCCGTATTGGTCCTGAGCCAGAGTACAAGTGGAACGCAATATCTCCTCCATGATACCCTTCTGCTTCTGCTCGTCCGTGCAATGCTCTAGGACTCTCTGCATTCACCCAAATCCCCCACACCACACCTCGTAAGCTTCATTCGTGACCCAATACATAACACATCACATCCGCTGCTCACAAGACCAGGCAGCACCACATGCACACACAGCATCACCACCGTCACCACACCACTTCAGGTCGCGCCCATTTACCTGAATCACCCGGCATCCGTAAGGATGCGTAGACAGAGTCACCACCTGATTGTAAAACGCAGAGATGATGAAATGGATCTTAGCGGGCGGCACACACTCGATGCACTTCTGAATCACGTGATTCCCGTTCTGGTCCCGCACACACCGCATCACGTTCCCATCCAACTCCGACACCAACTGCGTCTGTTGATCCACGTCCACCACCTCCAGCGCCTGCACGCACGCCACAACCACCTCCCCGTTGCGCTCAATTATCCTATCCAAAATCTACAACCCGACCGGATCCAACGAAAACCACCGCCACGTGCTCCTACCGTTTCAGCTCTCTTCATCACAACAGCAAATCAACTCGGCCGTGATAATGCAGCCACAAGCCATACCTTCTGAATCACTCTGCAACCGTACATCTGCAGACTCAGCACCAGAACTTGTCCCTCCAACTTGCTTGCCAGCTCTCTCCTCTGCTGATGAGTGCCGTGCTCGAAAAACTGCCCCAACCACACGCCAACACCAACCTCCCACCCATCATCACCAACGAAATCAACAGCCGCTCACGATTAACCCATTAGCCTCCAACCCCCGAAACCACACGGACACCCTCCCACCACTTGCCGAATGTATTCAAACCTCCACCTTCCCACACCCCCGCATACCTTCTGTATCACATAGTTGCCGAAAACATCCGTCATTAGCACCAGAGCTCGTGGAAGCACCTCCTGAAAAACCATGTTCTTGTCCTCCAGGGTTGCCGTTTCCAACTTCTGCTGAATGAACCTACTCCCGTGCTGATCGGCGCTGCACTCAACCAGTCACACCTCTGTCATCACTCATACCAACGTGCATCAAACTCGCCTCTTCCATGCGCTTGCAAACACCCCATTCCTCACATCAAACGTCTCGTCTCAACCTCACGCCCCGCATACCGCCGCATCAATCCAACACCCTCCATCGAAAATCTTACCTGAACTCCACAACGTGCCCTGCGATGTCCGACAGCTCGAATCGCCTCGTCTTGCTGTTCTTGAACTCTTCCAGCAACGTTGACCCCCGACTCTCTTCAGTCGTCTCGCCCGTCTTCTGCCCCTGCCACCCTGCATATGTCGCCCCGCTCGCAGCTCCCATGTTGCCGGAACTCGTCCTCGACGCAGAAGACAGCCGCATGTTCCGCTCATCGCGCCGCATCGGAAAACTTCCCGCCCCCACCGGCGACCCCGGAAGCACCGGGCTCGTCAGAGGTGAATTGTTATATGGCATACCCACACCAGGAGGACTGCCATAGTACGCTGGGCTCATCGAACCGCTCTTCTGGCTCGCGATCGGGATCCCCATTGACCCTGCTCTCCCAAACTGCGACTTCTGCTCCGCGCTGTAACCGCCCAGCATTGCACTCAGCTGGTTCTTCTGAAGCTCCACCATATCCACGGGACCTCCCCCCATGTAATTTCTCAGTACCGAAGGATCCAGCGCCGCTGCACGGGCCTCCTCCGCGGCACGCATGTACTGCAAGTACATCGGATCGTGCATCTGGGGCGATGCTCCGCCCGCATACTTATACAGGTTCTGCATGTCCACCGCTGCTTGACCAGGCGAACCGGGGACGCCGCCTCTCACGCCCATGCTCGCAAGAGCAGCTGCAGTTGCAGGATCGAACACCGGGGGTGGGTATCCGGCCATCATAGGGGCCAGCATCGCCGGATTCACGGGATATCCACCCAACCCATGCTGTGGACCGTAAACGGCCGCAGAGTTCAAATTCGGGTAGTACGGATTCTGCTGTGCCATGTACATGGCGGCGGCTGCAGCAGCATACATATTCGCCGGATTATTGTTTGCCCCGACATTGGGCTGGAGCCCGGCCGCCCCAGCTTGTTGGCTTGCCGTTCCACCCACACCAAACTTCGGCTGACCTCGGTACCCAGAGTCCACACCCGGATACAGCTGCTGCTGGAAAGCCTGCGAATATGCCAAAGCCTGCAACTCATCACATCGTAAGTCTTGTGTGCGTCACCAACCAAAATTTCCTGAAGCCCCACACAGTGTCCACCACCTCTGCACACCCTACATGTTCCAATTATACTGCCCCTACCACAACTGTCACAGCTAAGACCAGAATCTGCGCAAGTCACCTGCGCTGCTTGAGCTTGTGCCTGCGACTGCGCCTGCGCAGCTATTTGAGCTCGCTGCTGCTGCCGTTGCGCCTGCTGCTGTTGCTGCAGCCGCGCCTGCTGTTGCTCCTGCTGTTGCTGCAGCTGCTGTTGTTGCTGTTTCTGTTGCTGCTTCTGTTGCTGTTGCTGCATTTCTCTTTCCTCTCGCGCTGCCGTCGATCCCTGTATATCCGACATACTCAACCCTTGGAAGGCTGCCTCGAAATCCGCCGTGCTTGCACTCGCCGACCTGTTCATCGGCATTGCCATCTGAGCGAAATCCGCAGCGCTTGAACTCGCGGCTCGCCCCAGACCCACGCTCCGCGCATCCGAACTAGAGAAAGATATATTTCCTCCAGAAAGTCCTGAAGCAACCACCCCATCTCAGTCACCTCCCAAACCGCCCCACAGCGTCCAACAAGCTCGACGCAACCTACCCGGTTGCGACTCACATCTCCCCATCACATCACACGCAAAGACGCCGACAAACGCACCCCCTAGAACGTGTTACTCCCTCACAACGCATCCGCCATTCGACACATTCTGTTCCATGCAAATCCATTCATAACCCGCGTACCTGATACCCCGCCCATCCTCGCCAAACTCGGACTGGCGGAACGGACACTGCTTGCGAGTAAAATCTCTGGCGTAGGTATTCTCGGTACAGGCGCTGCGGGCCCCGAAGATTGGTGCAGATTCGACACTCCAGGAACGGGAGTCGTACTACGCGACCCCATACCACTTGCTCCAGCATTCGATTCGCCCGCACCCGACTCCCGCAAATGGGCCAATTGCAGCTCCAACACCGGATTCGCACCCTCGCTCTCGTCGTTTGCGGCTCTGCTTGACGACCGAGACAAGTGATACACTGGCGACGGCGTTCGAGGAAAATCCTCCTGCCCAACATCACAATCCACATCTGTCGTTATTCCTCACACTCGGAGCTAATTCGCCCGAAAATAACCCACTAACCACCATCCTAACCCCTCACCACTGTCACCACAATCCCTCAACCATGCCTCCTGCGTTCGACACTCATGTACACACACACACACACACACCGGATCAGATACGCTCCAACTACAGCCTTAAATCCAAAGACACCGGTTCACCAATAACCATCCGCGGCGGCCTTGGAAGCATCGTCAGCTCTCACGTACCTGAATCAGATCTACTAGGCTCTTGGGACGGGGGCCAAGCCCAGACGACAAACCCATCAACCCATCACCCCTCTCTCTTTCTGCCCAGTCGCTAGACACCGTCCTCGCAAGGGCCTCCATCGGTGAATTGTCCTCCTCTGGAACCTCCGGCTCCTCTCTGTGTGTCGGCAATAACGGCTGGCTCGAGAACAAGGACCTGCTGCTGCTGTCGTCCATTGACCGCAACTTCTTCTTGTCCCCGAATCCCGCAGCTCCCATCCCAGATTGCAATCTCTGTGCCAACCGATAGTTATTCCACGATATCAACGGTGGCGGCAACCTCGGATTCAGATTGATGTTGCTGTAATAATATACCAGGTACTTGGGATCTGCGCGCTGCGCTTCTTCGGCATCCAAAACATCCTCCTCCCCTGATTGAACATTCGCACCACGCCCGCCTTTGTGGCTGGTGGGCATGTCGAGCAGCCCACCCATCGCTGCCAAAGACCCCTCCACGCTGGGAGGAGCACTGCCGCTTCTTTGCGGTACGTGTCCAGAGTTCAAAATGTTATCGAATCGGGTTCGCCCTTTCAGAAGACGACCCAACTCAGTAACTCCATCCAGATCCTGTGAGGTGCCATGACCACCTCCGCTCCCAGTCCGTAGGCCCTCCCCCAGAGTTCCCATATTCCCTCTAATCCCTCCAGACATCATCATAACAGGGCTCTCCGTCGCCATTTCAACGTGTGCTGACTCCCACCACTATGCGCCGCTCAGCATCATCTCAACCGTGCGCATTTTTCATTCTCCAGGACAAGGCTTGCTACGCTCTGGCTCACTCGCAAAGTGTCGCCACCATGTACCACGGGAACGTATTCCTCCTCCTAGTGTCAAAGTCCTTGTTAGACGTCACCTTCAGTACTCCAAATTTCCTTCACGCACGCAAGCCCGCCCATCCGAGCACCTCGAACCGCTGCACATATTATCATGTAAGGAGGACGTTAGGTTAACTGCTGAGCTCGTTGCTTTGTGACTCTACTGTGTTGCGGGTGACTATTGTGTTGCGTTGGGAACGAACTTCATTTTGTAGGTTTAGCTGAACCACTTCATGGGAGGACGTTTTGATGGTTTTTCAGTAGAGACCTATAAGCCGGTAAATTTCGGTATGGGTATATTGATAGAAAACAGTCATTCTTGGCATGTCTTCTTTACGGCTACGGCTGGACATGCCCAACTGAGTTATTGAATGGTTGGGGAAGGTATTGTTTAGCCGAGTGCAGAACGCTTGAGTGAAGATTCCAAGAGCATTTATATAGGGCTGTGCGTTGTTTTGGTTAGGATTTGAAAGAGAGACTATGAGGCCCACGACAATTATATAGCTTGCATTAATTCAACGAGAAAAATGAAAGAAATTCACAGAATCTAAGGAAGTGAGGAATTTTGAAGGACTGATCTCTAAGACGTTGCACTTAATATTCAATGGAATTCCTCGTCGACATGGTTGCGTTGAATGGACATATCCTGCTCATGTTTCAAGGACTTCTTAGGTAGCAGTTCCGCACCGAAGTTAATTTAATGTCAAGATATGATCACATCCAGACTGCATTCTTTACCTCGATTTTCGCTAAAGTACCAAAAATATCAGCTTCCGCGATCTAAGGACAAAAAATACTTTCACACGAATTCGAGATTAGAGTATCATTGCCATAAACCTCCAACTTATGCCCAACCTCGTCTAAATAGTCAGAAGAGACCCGTTTACACTAACACATTGTAAACTCGCCGTAGTGTACAGATACAGGAGGAGTGCGGTAAGAACGGCGTGAATTTAAGGCATGAGAATTACACCTGTCGGCATAATTTAATTTGTACAGGCAGATTGGAAACACTTTGTGCTTCGATAAGCCGACTGCAATTCCTCGAAACAATGGATGCTCGGTGAGAACAGGACATTGCGAATCGGCTTATCAAAGAAAGCTCTATCTCTCTCTCTCTCTCTCTCTCTCTCTCTCTCTCTCTCTTAGCCCCTTCCCCACCACGTCATACACAGAGAAACTGCATAATCTACAATCGTGTAATCCGAGCTAAATTCCACTCGATGTGCAAGGTAAACTCGGTAAACTGTCAAACACCAAAAATTTCAACGATCACCAGTTACCACCTTCTGACAATGTCGATATGAATAAAGAAATAAAGGAGAAGATGGGGGAAGGAAAAAAAAAAAAAAAAAAAAAAAAAAAAAAGGTTCCGGGAGTGGAAATCAAACTTAGGGCACAAGAAGCCGGAAATACCAGCGGTCGAAATTCATGTAGCTACCTTAAACCACACAAAGCACGCACTTGATCCACTTCCTCCTCGAAACTATCACTACAACCGCCAGCAGCAACCAAAACTCGCTACAAAATAATCAAGCCTAGCTGCAGTCCTAACACAGCAAGCATCAAAAAGAAATAAAATTTGGAGGATTCAGAAAACTAACGTGAAGAAACGACGCGAGAGAAGAAGAAAGAGAAAAGCGAGGAAGGTGGCGTCTGTCTGTCTGCGTGCCACCACGACCAGGCCGGGTGCGCTTGGCAACGAGACGCAACGCATGTCGCTCGCTGGGTGGCGGTGGATTCACAGAGGCCAGACTGCTCCCTCCCTCCTCCCCATCGCCCGACCCCGACCAAGCCCTCGTTTCTCTTACGAAACATCCTCCATTACAGTAGACGTCTCGGCGCACTTGGATGCATCATCGCACAGCCGCCGGTCCCACTCGCGTGCTGCTCCTCGGTGTTCCTGGGTTAGGGAAAGCTAGGGAGAGAGAAAGAAGCCTTGCAACGAGAGGGAAAGCCAACACTGTGGACTCTGCAAGGCTTTGGAAGCCGCTCCCCGGTTTGATTCTCTGCCGTTGGATCTTCTCCCATCCTCACGGTATCCCCTCCGATGGGCTTAATGCCACCTCCTCCATCGCATCGCGCCGTGCCGCGGCGGTGGAAGCTATAGAAGCGTCACCGTGGTGATAGCCTACCAATGTGGAATTGACGACCGTGACTACGGATCGGTATACGGTCCAGGGGTTGGAAATAGGCTCATCTACCTCAAGTCGTGAACGGCCCTCGAGAACAAGTACAATGTAACATGGAATTAATTTTTACCATGCATTCTATTTTTAATCAATCAACCCAAATATAACTTACGTTCTTTGTAACTATTAACGGCTCTTACAATTTTAATTGTCCCTTATCAAATATTGTTATTCTGGATTAATGTATCAGATCATCAAACAAATACTCAGGAAAGGTTTCAAGTTTTTTCCATTTGTGCACTTTCATCCACATTCACATTCATTTTGACTAATGATTTTGAAGTTTATTCCAAAAATAAAGTCAATTAAAAATAAATGGACTAGAAAACAAGTGTGTTTCATGCTGGAATATTTATGGGTGTTTAAACTGATTTTCCATTTTATACTATAAATAGACTAAAAGGTAATCATGAAATAATAACACTGTTTATTAGAGTGAAATTTAATATTCTACATGTGTAAATTGGTTATATTTTTATTTTTATTTTCTTATTTTTGGATCATTGAAATTTTATCATTGCATATAGTTATTTTGGATATATATATATATATATATATATATATTCAGCTTTTTGAGGATTTCTGTTAAAATGGGAATTAATCCCAAACTCAAATTGTATGAAAAAAATAATATGATATGACTACATCTATATATATATATATATATATATATGCATGAAGTTTAAAATAATATAGAAGAAGAAAATATGAATACAAATAAACTCCCAACCAATAATTTGTAATATGCATAGTATTTCAAAATTGATACAAGTTTTGTTTGTATAATTGACATTGTAAGTTTTGTTCGTATAATTGACCTTGTAAGTTTTGTTCGTATAATTGACGTTGTAAGTTTTGTTCTTACAACTCCATGTCACAAAGAATTTTTTCAAAAATAAAATAATTTACAAATCAGCCAAAAAAATCAAGTTTAAGGAGAAAATATTTTTTCAATTAAGATTTGTGTTGCAGTTGAATAATAATCTCTCTATGTATCAAATTAGTAATCAGAAAGTAATCCTAAGAGGTTTGTGCTTAGAACAAATATGATATTTTTTGAAAAAATGTGCATACACATGATACCTATTAAAAAATTACAAAATGATTTATATTTATTTTCTTATTTTAACAATAATTCATGCAGAAGAAGTATACATATATTTTTTACATAGTTTCAGTTATCTTTTATTATATATATATATATATATATATATATATTCTTACAAAAATATTTACAAATATACATTAATACACAAAATATTCAAATGAAAGCGATTGGTTTATTTTTACAAAGCTTTAAGAAAAATAATAAGTTTATTTGTCTATACATGGTTATGTGTGTTATTTCAAATGATGTCAAATCTTTATTTGATATACATCAATCAAGTAAAAAAATGATACAAAATGCTTTGATACAAGTGAGACTTAATTTAAGCTTAAAGCTTTTTTGAAAGGGCTTTGATAAAGATTTGTAAAAACTAATAAATATTCAAATAGAAAAATTAGTATGGTTTTTTTGAGTTTAACAAAAAATAAATTGTATTTAATTTTTACAGTCTTTAAAGATTTTGAAGAATCATTAAAATTTAAACAATTTCAAAATATAGAATGAAAAATCTGAAGACTGTATTCTACGACACAGGTTTTTTTAGAATTTAGTATTCCATTTATAAAAATAAAATTTTAATTTGAAATTACATATCTTTTAAAACTACACTAAAATTTAAATTTTATTTTTTTAAAATAAAATAAATTATGAATTTTATGGATTATTATTGATTTATTCTTTTTTATATTCTTTTCATTTCATTGAATTTCATTTAAATTACTGATTGTAAACAATTATTATTTTTTAAAAAACATTCATGAACTTAATTAAGTGCTTGTAAAATTATGAGATTTGGTAAAATTTTAAACTTATATTGAATTTAATTCACTATTTTTATTATATAGAATTAATATATAATTATATTTATTTTATTTTTTATTCTTTTTATTTCTAAATTTTTGTATTATAAATATATGATTAATACAAATATAACATTTAATTCATAAAAATCAATATATTAATAATCATATTGAGTCTATTTATAACACTTTGTTTTTTGAATTTTAAGGACTAAAAGCAAATACAAGACAAAATTCTATAAAAATTATGACCAATAATACCTACTTACAGTGACAAACAGAACCGAGTACAAAATCTGAAGTGCCAACTTTCAAGAGCAATTACAGAAATTTCAATGATTGCTTTATAAATCTGAAAGTTACATGGAATAATGCACACAGTCTTGTACACATGTATAAAGTTGCACATCAAATTGATAACTAAACATCCTTCTACAAAGTCAAATCAACAACTATGTCTTGTACTCAGTATTGTTCAAAGAAAATCTTCAAACTTCAATATTTAGTCCAATAACCTTTTGCTTCCAAAACAGCTGAAATCCTTCTTGGCATACTTTTGTATAGTTTCTCACAATCTTTTGCATCAAAACTAGGGTAAATACTACAAACATTCTCCCACAATTCTTGAACACCTCTTGGCCTTGGAGTGACTTGGCTTAAATGTTATTTGAGAAGGGCCTAAAAATGTTCCATTGGATTCAAATTTGGAGATTGAGCTGGCCATCGAAGGAGCTGAAATGGCTGTTAAGAGAGCCAAAACTGAACACTTTTTGCCATATGTTTGGGATCATTATCATGTTGAAAAACCACCTTAGTAGGATCTAAGTTGTAATTCTATGTGGTACTTTGCAAGTAGCTTTCTAAAATTTTTTTGTACAAGTATTGCTCCATTCTACCTTCAATTTGATACCAAGCACCCGGCCCAAAAGCAGTCATACAACCCCAAATCATAATTGAACCACCACCATGTTTGACGATTTGACTAACATGTTTAGATTCAGGTCGTTCTCCTTCTCTCAACCAACACCAAGACCTACCATCTGAGTTGTTTAGATTAATCTTTGTCTCATCACTGAAAATAACCCATCTCCAATCATCAACAGTCCAATTTTTGTATTTATGAGCAAAACTCAACCTTGCAAGAACATGTCTTTTGGCAAGTAGAGGCTTCTTTTGTTGGACACAAGCACCCAAACCAGCTTCTCTCAAACCACGCCTCAAGGTGATGTCTGAGAAGTGTTTACCTGTTTTTTCTCGAAGTTGTTTTGCAGCTGCACTTGCCGTTTTGAGACAACCAGCAGTGACAAGGTGCACACCAAGTCGCTTCTCTTGCTCTCCTAAAACCTTTGGACGTCCTCCTCTTTGCTTTTCTATTTCACCACTAATCTCCCTCCTCAAATGAGCTACTGAAGACTGACTCATTCCAAGTGAGTCTGCAACTTTTCTTGTAGAAACACCACTCCTAAGCTGCAGCAATGCTTGGTGCTTCAATGATTCACACAACCGAGGCATAGAGATACAATTGACAAATCAACTTTCACTATAGATAGTACACAACAAGAGCAACACAACAAACAAAAAATGCCCTCAAATCTTGCAACAAGGAGTGTACATTGAAATTTTGAAATTCAGCAAGAAGAAGCAACCAAAACTGAGTACGCACGTTTGTGTGCTTCTACAACACTTTTCTCATAAATCCTACCTCAAATGATAATGAGATTTTTCATCCATGTAGAGGACTGGATGGATACACACAATAAAAAAGTAATTCTATCAATTGACTTATGTGTCAGTTGGAAGGATCAATGAACTATGAGTGTTCAGATTTTGTACTCGGTTTTTTTTGTCACTGTATCTTTAAATGAACTTATTTATTATCAAAAATAGAAATCATATGGCTTAAGACCAAATATCACTCTACTTTGAGGTTCTATTGTCTAGTACAATATCAAAGACATGAATTTCAAAAAAACTAAAAGATCAATAAATTCTTATATCACTCAAAAAGATTATAATATCACTCAAAGATAGTATAATATCAAACTAGAATGGCTATTGCTAAAGATAAAAAGACTAGAAAGTCTTGAAATAAGACTAAAGACTATAAAGGTATTGATAAGAATGAAGAAGGCTTTATTTTTGCCTCTATATATATTATCTAATTAGAAGCTACATGGTAAAATTCTATAGGACCTCTAACACGTGTCCAATTTGTAAAACACATGTCTTAACTTGCAAGGCAAGTTTTCTATATGTATGCAACATCATTAGCTTGTATCACAAACTACCTTTATGTGTGACACATGGCTAATTTGTAGGCTAAGTTTTTAACCTACTAATTAACTATAAATATGTATAAAGTCAAATATATATCTATGAAGCTTCTAAGAAGCTTTGATATAAGATAATATTTAATCTACATATATTTACCTTTTTTCTATCACTTTTTATTTAAATAAATATATATGTCCATGAAATTATCCCCTCTTTTAGAGACAAGCTCTATAAAGAACATTCATCATACGTTGAAGAAGTCTAAGATGCGGCAAATTGTATTTGCTACATATTCTAATCTTTATTCTTTTTAAAGATGGATAATAGGTCATTTCAGTGATTGATAGTGTTCCATACTAAGGTCGAAAGATTACCTTGCTATTTAATTATTGTTGAGGCATTTTATAATTCTTTTTAAATAAAATATTTGGAACACTGTTAGGAGTCATTCCTATCTCTAATAAAATTACCAAACATTGAAATTCTATTTCAAGATCATGATACCAAACATGTTATATCTTGCCATTTATTCAAAGAACAACATATTATTTTTG